GTCTGGGGCTGGTACAACAGGCCAGAAGTGGCCGCAGTACAAGGGACTTAGTCCCACCCCACTAGCAATAAAAAAATACCTTACCCACTGGATACTTAGCCACCTCACCCCATCCCGCGCATGAATCATATGGCACATGTCAGTACTCACGTGTGACGTCACCAGTCCTCCTCCTTGGTAATTAAGTATGGTAAAGTTGTCCCGCCGGTCACGGTAGCCGAGCGGTCTAAGGCATGCACTGTCTTCGCTCGCTTTGAAACTGGGATCGTGGATTCGAATCCCACTCAGGGCATGGATGTTTAGTTTGTGTGTGTGCGTTTTTCTGTGTTTGTGTACAGGTAGAGGCCTTGCGACGAGCTGATCACCCGCCCAAGGAGTCCTACCGAATGTGTAAGATCTAGAAAAACCGAAGTGAACGGAGAAGTTCATGGAGGTAGGCCTAGGCCCACTTGGGCTGTAGTGCTAAGGAAAAAAAAAAGTTGTCCCTGTGCTTAACTAATTAAGCACTACGCCATGATCGCTTATGGGGGAGTGGATGTATAGATCCATATTTTCTTGACATCGACACTAGTTGGAGGTGAGTGGTCAGCTTCAAGCCCCGGTCCCTTTACCCGTGGAGGAAGAGCCCGCGGTACCCTTTGGGTGGGCCCCAAAACCAGTCTTGACGACGTGAAGAAGAGAAAATTCTTGACCGTACCGGGACTCGAATTCAGACTCCTCGGTCGTCCAGCCAGTAGCCAGTCTCTATACCGACTGAACTATCCCTGCTCCTCTGAGTAATTAAGTATATGTAATAGATGGCGTATTCCTTGCAGGAACTTTCAGTATTCGAGCGGTGCTCGTATCAAATTTCAGATGGGACACCGCCTTTCCTATCTGAGGTTCTTGGTGACTTTCCTCTTACAGTGTTCTCATGAAAATGATGGGAAAGTAACGCCATTACACCACGACTACTTCCTTCAAAATCCTTTCCAATTCATTGTTATTCATCAGCCGTCCAGCTCTCCGAAATTTTGCAGTCTCGATGCTGAAGGCTTGGTCAGATACACGTAAAGGAAGAAGCATACGTACAGTATAGAAATGGAGCCTTGTGACCTGCCGTCAAGTACTAAAAGGTGAAACTGAAAACTGAAACATGGTCATTTTGCGTGGGAGCAGTACCTCAGGAATGTGCGGAGGAGGAAGGCGGTAGGAGGTAATACTCTAATATGGAGGTTAATGGTCAGTTTTACGCTTTGATCGACTGAATCAACTGAACGGACGTTCAGTTGATTGGGTAAAATTCTCGCTACCCGTTTGGGGGTTTAAAATCGTGAATTGGGGAATAATAAACATGACTGAAGTTCTACATAGTTTTACTCGGATCTTCCAGGCAAAGAGAGTAAAAATAGGCCCGTCTCACTACTTCTTTTAACCGTTAATACCTGAGCCTAGTCCTTTCAAATTTTAAATCATTATTGTAAAATTGAAAAAGGTATGAGTCACCAGGTAGTGATGAAATTCCGGCGGAATTTATTCTAGCAGGAGGTGAAATATATTTGTAATGAGGAAGAATTACTTGAACAGTGGAAGCGGTCTATTAGTGTGCCAGTTTACAAAAAAGGCGAAAAAACTGACTGCAGTAACTATCGGGGGACATTACTGTTATTAATTTCATACAAAGTATTATCCAATATTCTTCTCTCAAGGTTAAGTCCACATGTAAATGAAATTATTGGGGATCATCAATGTGGATTTGGAGGTAACAGATCAGATCTTTTGCATTCGTCAGATACTGGAGAAAAAATTGAAGTACAATGAGACAGTACATAAGCAGTTCATAGACTTCAAGAAAGCCTATGATTCAGTAAGGAGGGAAGTATTGTACAGTATTATGTTAGAGTTTGGGGTACCCATGAAACTAATTAGGCTGATTAAAATGTCTGTAAAGGAAACGCATAATAAAAGTCCGTATAGGTAAGCATTTTTTCTGATAATGTCCCTATCCAAAATGGCCTAAGACAATAAGAGGCTTTAGCGCCACTGATTTTAAATTTGCTTTAGAATATGTCATTAGGAAGGTCCAGGTAAACCAGGTGGGACGGAAATTAAATGGGACACATCAGCTGTTGGTCTATGCTGATCATGTGAATCTACTGGGTGATAATATAGGTACCATAAAGAAAAACACACAAACTTTAATTGACGTTAGTAAGGAAGTTTTTCTAGAAGTAAACATAGAGGAAACTAAGTATATGTTGCTCTCTCGTCACCAAAATGCAGGACAATATCATGATATAACGATAGGAAACTTATGTTTTGAAAATGTGACACAGTTCAGGTATTTTGGGAATGATTATAAGAAATCAAAACGTGATTGAGGAGGAAATTAAGAGCAGACTGAATTCAGGTGATCCTTGCTACCACCCAGTCAAGAACCTTTAGTTTTCTCGTCTGCTGTCTAAAAGCATAAAGTTTAGAACATACAAAATTTTAAATTTGCCTATGATTCTGTATGGGCTTGAAACTTGGTCTCTGACATTAAGGGAGGAACCTAGACTGAGGGTGTTTGAGAACAGTGCGCTGAGGAGAACGTTTGGACCAAAGAGAGATGAAATGACAGGAGACTGGAGAAAACTACATAATGAGTAGCTTCATAACTTGTACTCTTCGCCAAGTACAAGTAGAGTAATGAAGTCAAGGAGGATAAGATGGGCATGACATGTAGCACATGTGGAGTAGAAAAAGAATTATTATAGGATTTTGATGGGAACATCGTAAGGGAAGAGGCCACTAGGAAGATCTAGACATAGGTGGGAAAATAATATTAAGATCTTAGATAAGATGAGGCGGTGTGGTCTGGATTGTTCTGGCATAGAATAGGGATCAACAGAGGGCTCTTGTGAACACGGTAATGAACTTTCGGGTTCAATAAAACGTTTGAAATTACTTGAGCAGCAGCGCAACTGGCAGCTTATCAAGAAGGGCTCAGCTCCATGGAGTTGGTTTGTTTCGGATTAGGTCAGTGTCGCTTCTTTTGTTATAATTTCCAATTTGTTGCTCACTGACCATTTACCACTTGACGCGGTAGACATAGAGTGTGTTACTGGCAGAGTCATTAAATAAATCGTAAATAAAAAGTAATCACGTCCGGGAAATTAGGTCCCTCTACTGATTGAGCTGAAAGTTATTTCTAAGAATTGGATTCTCGTGTTAATGAAACATTTTAATTACAGTTTCCCTTTACAAAAGTATGTAAATATTCTTCTGTAACGAACCACACAATAGATATTAAATGATGTTACAAGAAAATGTGATGGGGGATATCCGAAATTGGTTTCAATCCATTCCACGCGGAAGTGAAGTTAGAATTCAGTTTTGAGAACTGCTGCAACGTTTAAATAGCTCGTGGGATGAGATAATTAACAGGAACTGTTGACAGTGCCTCCCCCGCAAAATTTAGCTTCGAGCAATTACAAATGCTGGCAGAAGTTGTACTATAGTTGAACAGGGCGCCAAGGGCCTTACAGCAGACAGAGTTGCCGGTGGTCATAGGAACAAGGCAAATGAGAAACTAGGAAAACAGGAACGGGATGAGAAGGAATGGAAGGAGAAGACCTAAACAGAGAGAAATGAAAGAAAAAGAGGATAACGGAAGGAATGGAGGGGTGGGGAAGAAAGAAGTGTAAGAAAGGAAGAGGTATTAAGAAATAGAGGAAGAGAGAAAGAGAGAGAGGGAGGAAGTAGAAAGAAAAGGACGGGAGAGAGGAGGAAGAGCGGGAGACGTGATTTTCCTGAAACAAAGTGAAATACCTATACAGACATAGGCAGACTTCACTATACCACGTTCGGGATGTGCAAGAAGCAGATATAAGCAAACTCTGGCCAGGGAGCAATGTCATATTGACTTGCTAATGGACGAAGGCTGGAGAAGTACATTTTGGAGCGGTTCACACCATGACAGATGTTGCCCGGAATCGAATGTCACATGTAACTGAACCTGTATGGAGCATCGTGTGTACTTCAATTGTCTTTCCACATCTGGTTGGGCTATAGTTACACTGGTTTCTGTCAATTGTTGTAACCTGTCAAAATGCTTAGCCGGCTTGGTTGATGGCGATTGGATCGGTTGTTCTTAAGAATGAAACGAAAGGAACAAGCACGGTCCGTATTGTATGGTAAGGTGAAGTCGGACGTGCCGGTCACGATAGCCGAGCGGTCTAAGGCACGTACTGTCTTCGGTCGCTTGGAAAACGGAATCATGGGTTCGAATCCCACCCAGGGCATGGATATTCAGTTTGTGTACAGGTAGAGGCCTTGCGACGAGCTGATCACCCGCCCAAGGAGTCCTACCGAATGTGTAAGATCTAGAAAAACCGAAGTGAACGGTGAAGTTCATGGAGGTAAGCCTAGGCCTGCTTGGGCTGTAGTGCCAAAGAAAAAAAAAAGTCGGACGTATGAGGGGGTGGATGTATAGATCCACGTATTCTTGACCTCGATAATTGTTAGAAGTGAGTGGTTAGTTTCAAGCCTCTGTCGCTTTACCCCCGGGGAAAGAACTCCGGGTACCTACTTGATAGGACGTGGGCCCCAGAGCTAGTCTGGAAGACATGAAGAGGAGAATCCCTACCGGGATAATTAAGAAAAAACAGAAGTTCCTTACTTTCGAACCTAAGCATTACCATTTAATTAAATATTTCTTTGGTTAGAGTAATTATGGGACACGTTCTATTCTCCAATTCAAAAACTCTGATAACTTTGCACATTGGATTTCTGCTTTAGCCACGGAATGTCACTTTTAGACGCCTTTCTTCACAACGATAAATCATTTTATACTGACCATGAAATTTCTATACATGGAAAGTAAAACTTTCTTCATGCTTGATAATTCCAGATCTTGTCACACCAGTGTCGTTCTCTTTGTCATGTTATATAAATTCTTCCACTGCAATCAATAAAACAGTTATTACAGACTGGTGGCAGAGTATATTTTCTGTTGTGACATGGTGTAATTCTTGCAGACGCAGCATGTCCGACCTGTGACGTCGCAGGCCTGTTCAACTTCGCCTTCTGGTTGGGCTACTTCAACAGCTGCATCAACCCTTTCATATATGCCTGTTCATCCAGAGAGTTGCGACGCGCCTTCCGGGGCATCATCTGCTGGAAGAGGAAGCACACCAGCAATATGGCAGTCAGCTTGACCGCAAGGTCACGTGACCTCAGCTTGTCCAGCACCACGAGCATATCGACAACCAGACGGGTCCAGTAAGCTAACACCGAACAGGTTTCAGTAGAGTCCGGTACTTGCTGAAAGCCTATTCAGGAACGTGAAGGACCAGCACTGAAAACGAATCGTACAATAATATCTCGGGAGTCACTGCCTTCTCGTCTCTGAGTTATAAATTCAATCCCATGGTAGGTAATGTTGGATTTAAGCTGAACAGCGTCCCATCGGGCAGGTTTCATTAAGGACCGAATATTACATACATGGACTGCAGGAGTCTTCCCTACACATGCCATGGCACCTGCAGAGAGGTACGCAATGTTAGCCAGCATTCACCGTATGTGCACGATTAACCCGGTTTCATTTATTTCAGGCATCAAAGTAAATGTTTAATACCGGGAACAGGGTGAGTTCTTTTCGTGTTCCCTAAATGTCACGTGACTATTTTCAAATTTCATGTATGAAAATATGCAGAGAATTGTAATAAAAAAATGATTTAATAAAATGCAAATATTTGTAATTCTTCAGTAGTTTGTCTTCCTTAGCCTTAAATTATATTTTACTAACCAAGTAATTGTGTAGTGTAACAATTTTACGTTGCCTTTTATCGTCTATGAGATAGACCTGTATTAGTCAATTGCTTCTAATGCAACACACAAGTCATTCTGATTCAGTGACCGTTATTTTTGAACTGTATCAGCTTAGAGTGCAGTTAGTGTAGTCATAAAGGGACCCATACACGTACGAGTCTAGCTCGCGAGTCCGGCTAGACGATCTTGACTCGGGAGCCGGGTTTGGATTAATTTCACCACAAACGCAAGAGCTGACTCCCAACTCTGCGACCCACACACGGACGAATTTGGCTCATTGGAAACCGAGCCGAGTCGAACTCACGAGCCAGACTCGTACGTGTATGGGCCCCTTAAGTCTGAGATGTTAAAGGAAAGAGAGCATATATGCAGGATTGTATATGCTCGTAACTCAGCATTCCGTCATGTTACTGAATGAGGAGCGTTGTGTTTAGAGACATAGGCCATTTGTAGTCGAGCCCTTTAAAAATAATAAGAATTCTGTGATACACTTATTCACCTGTGACAAGTTTTTGGCTTAACTTTATTTTCCGTAACATCACAGAAGTGTTCCTCTTATGGCTACTCGCCATAATTCCATATTTATATCTATTATAACTCTTGCTCTTTTAAATATATTATATAACATAGAGGAACCTGACGGGCAACTGGTAGCGTGGTTAGTTAGCTTCTTAATCTTACAGCCAGTCGATGAGACTCCTTGGACGGGGTATAAACCCACAGCAAGGCCACTACCTACACAAGACAACACAAACAGATAATAAACCCAGAGAGATATTCATCACTGTGATCAGCTTATTTCCTTAATAGTATCAAACTTTCTGTCACACCATTGTTAATTAATTTTAAAATAAAAAAAAAATCAGGTTTGCACGACGCCCGCTAGGATCTCTTGCTGTGTAGTCTGACAGATAAAATGTTCTGCATCCATCTTGATTGTCTTAATAACCTTAAACTTGTTTGACAATATCATTAGTTAAATTTAATCTCTTGCTTATATTGAAGTTATTGTTTTAACTTTATCCTGTTCTGTCTGTACCTTATTCTTTACAGTAGAACAAAGTTAGACACTTGTACTGGGGCAGAGAGCACACATTCATAATGCAATAGTAAATACAGGTGTATAAACAGATGTGCCGTCGGGTGGATTACAAACCGGAAGCCAGCGTTCCGGGCCAACTGTGTGACCAGCCAGCTTGACCCTCGATGACCCTGCAGGGCTCTTCAGGAAGCCCATTGCTATGCTACATCTATTAAAGGGATTATAGAGAAACTACCAACTAATGAGACATTGGATAATGATAATGAATGGGAGCTTAGAAGTGCCGAATTATAATATGAAATCCCTAACGGGAAAGAGTAAACAGAACGGAAATCCAACAGAGCCCTTCCGGAATATGGATTGATACTCTGAATGATTAGAAAAGTGGGTACTTTAAATAATTAATAATCATATAAAATCGTCTCTATCATGTGTTAATTATTATTATTACGGTTTAATGACGAAATATTAAGTACAGAATTTGTGATAAGTGGATGCACAGCGATATTAACGTTCATATTCTGAGAAATGTAACCGGATGTCTGAAGTCCCCACCACAAACTGGAAATCAGCACTTTAGCTGGTGTGTTTCTTCTGGCACCTTCTCTGCGTGTATAATGAAGAAGTAGTGCTAATGCCCTTTCTTCATGATCTATTTTATTAACATCTTCCAATCTACACTGAAATCTCCAAAGGCCCACCTTGTGTAATTGGCTATTTTTATTGTCAGGTTTTTGCTGCCTGTTTCTGAAGTTTCTGCATATTATCTATCTATCTATCTATCAATCTATCTATCTATCTATCTATCTATCTATCTATTCCTTTTCCTCCCACTTCGATCATAGAGCATCCGTGCAACGTCTGTTTCACTTCAGTTTCTTAATCTTAGACCGTCCATAGCACTCCTTGGACGGGGGATCAGCCCGTCGCAAGGCCGCTATCTACGCACAAACACAGAATAAACGCAAGAAAAACATCAATGCCTTGAGTGGGATTCGATCTCAAGATCCCAGTGTTTGAGCAGGCGAAGACATTTAACGCCTAAGACATCGCTGCTATTGTGTTCGGCCTTCAGCAGACTACGGGACCAGATTCCGAAAGCCGATGTTGAACATTTTGAAATACGTTTGATTTTACTGTGATTGGTTCAACCACCTCTCCCAAGTTTCTAAGTTGGAGGGCTGAAACTTGTGAGTTGTTCGCGTTTGCTCATCTCTGTGCTCAGAGGAGAGTGGAGGCCTTACGTAGGAGCAAGTTAGAATAGTTATTATGGTTTTCTAGGTTACGACAGTTGAAATTTAGTATGTGGTCACGAACGTTTTAAGAAACCATTGCCCCGAAGATTGAAGCAGTATGTTCCTTGGAAACTTAAGTAACAACTTAGGAATCTATATACCTCTGAGCAAAATTAGGCAAAAAGTTTCCCGCCCAAGTAGTTTCCAATGCCTCCGGTAGATGGGGAAGTTATCGGGTACCACTGCCAGAAGAGGGCCAACCTCGCTGGCAGAATGGGGCAGATAGCGAGCACCAGTACCGGTAGGGTATGGCGACAGTAGAAATTAAAAAGGGGACGTACAATAGACTACTAGTCGTGGTGCATGGGGAAACCCACTCCCTCTAATAATGAATACTGAATAGGAATCTGTATGGTACCATAACACAAAAAACACTCATTCTGAACGTATTTTCAACTTCTTTTCTTATTTAGTGGTCGTCGCCTTCCTCCGGAACTTGAGGATGAGCCTGAGCCATGTTGCTGCGACAAGGGACCAACTGAAGGGTTTAACTTCCGGTATGGTAACCATAAATTGTTATAATGAATTTATTTTCTTATGAAGTTTGATTTTCGCAGAGAAATACAACACGCGATCTCATTAAGGAGTTGTGATTAACCTTCAACCGAGACCCTAATTTGTTGCATGATAGTTGTCTGAGACGTTTCTGTTCTGAGCAGTTCAGTGCAGTGCAGTACTGTCACAAGTTCAGTCAAAGAAAATACTAAACAGGTGGTGCATAACAAGGAAGTGTAGTTATGTTCAATGTGTGACAGGATGCGGAAGACGAAGAAGAGCCAGTTCAATCTTTCGTACGATCTATTAAGGCCACTTGGCAGTATTTGTCAGTTCGCCTCTGTGCCGCGTGACTTGACTGTAACACGTGCACTCCACACACCTCAACTGTAACATAGCGTTCTTCCGATGCTTTTCACCCAAGCTTCAAGCGGAAAGTAACAGACTATACTTAGCGGAAGGTTTTTGTCATATGTGTCTTAACAAAAAATATTTTTTTTTTCTCTAAGATGTTGCTTATAAAATATTATGAATATATTCATTGTTGTTCACTTTACTACATTAAAATAAACGTACATAGTAAAAAGTAAAAAGTAAAGCTATCCCTGTAACCGGCCATGGAGGCCCATAGGGTTGTGAGACGTCGAGGGTCCCACATTATCTAGACAACCGGCTCAAAGATGGAGGTAAGTACACTGTCAAAAAGATAACATACATATTCCATGACCCGATATGCTCTGTAGTTACGGTTGTAGGAAACAAGACTGATAGTAAAAAATAAATTACATTTCTGAGGAGAAAAATAGAACAATGAAATCTGTAATTGTTGCCGTTACCTCATTTGTTTGGAGCGAAATTATATTTTAATAATATAAAAAGTGTAAAAACAGCCCAAGGCATCAAATGAAAACGAGACCTAAACTACAGATTGCGCACGCACAAAAGCCTTCATGTGCGGGAGGTCTCCTCTCTTTCGAAACGAATGAGATTCAGGGGTTGAAGCAGATCGAATCTCATAGACGTGAACCGAAGACGCTCAAATCCTAGTTCACCTGTCTAGTTAATATGTATTTATAGTTATTTTATTTTTTTAATTTATCACCGTTCAATTAAAGCGGAAATAAACATAAAATATATGTTATTTTCCATTTTTCTCTAATAATAATAGGAGGCGCTATTCATTCTGTCGCATCGTTTCTGACTAAGCATTAACTCTCAGTGTAAGATTTGAGGCTTTCACGGCGGTGACTATGAAGAAAGCAGTCTTCTGGGATTTGGCACCGTGNCTCTCAGTGTTTACACGCATGCGCAAAGCCTGCATCGCTACAACGCAGGAAAATGCGGGAAGCCTGGCTCATCCATTATCTTAAAGCTTGGACAGTTTTAGATCCCCCCAGCCCTTGCTTCCTTTCCCCGTACCAGTTTCGTCTCTCTTTCACGAATGAGGAGACTTAATGAAAGTGGAGGAGTGGAGAGAGGTAGGTGTGCGTGACGTCATGTGGAGAAAGAAAATGTGTATATTTTTTTATTTCAATAAAACGAGAAAGTGATATAGCAATTATTATACAAAAAGTATGAGGAATTAGCACATAGAAACTTTACTAATAAGATTATCTTGAGGGTAATAAATATTTGTTTAAAGTTGCATATAAACGAAGAAAATAAATAAGGGTAATATCCGAAAGATTAGGAGACGGAAATTCGAATGGTAAAAACCGGATTAAATAAATTGAGTAACTAAAATATATGCCGCGCCATAGCTCAAGCGGTTAGTCGCTGGCTTCCCACCGCGGCGGACCGGGTTCGATCCCGTGTATGGTCAGGTGGGATTTGTGGTGGACAAAGTGGCGCTGGGGCAGGTTTTCTCCGAGTACTTCGGTTTCCCCTGCCAATCTTCATTCCACCAATTGCTCCACAATCACCCTCACCTATCATCTGGGGCTGGTACAATAGGCCAGAAGTGGCCGCAGTACAAGGGACTTAGTCCCACCCCACTAGCAATAAAAAAAACTAAAATATAAGTAGATTTAAGCAAATAATTTTGAGGACC